CAATCGTTAAATTAGAAAAAAAAAATTTGTGTTCTTCTAGTCGGTATTGGGACGACTAGATATCTTGAGATTCATTTCTTAACTTAGAAAAATTTTGGTGTTCTTCTAGTCGGTATTGGGACGACTAGATATCTTGAGATTCATTTCTTAACTTAGAAAAATTTTGGTGTTCTTCTAGTCGGTATTTGGACGACTAGGTATCTTGAGATTCATTTCTTAACTCAGAAAAAATTTTGGTGTTCTTCTAGTCGGTATTTGGACGACTAGATATCTTAAGGCTCATTTCTTAACTTAGAAAAATTTTGGTGTTCTTCTGGTCGGTATTGGGACGATTAGATATCTTGAGATTCATTACCTTAGAAAAATTTTGGCGTTCTTCTAGTCGGTATTTGGACGATTAGATATCTTGAGATTCATTACCTTAGAAAAATTTTGGTGTTCTTCTAGTCGGTATTTGGACAACTATATATCTTGAGACTCATTTCTTAACTTAGAAAAATTTTGGTGTTCTTCTAGTCGGTATTGGGACGATTAGATATCTTGAGATTCATTTCTTAACTTAGAAAAATTTTGGTTTTCTTCTAGTCGGTATTTGGACGACTAGATATCTTGAGACTCATTCCTTAACTTAGAAAAATTTTGGTATTCTTATAGTCAGTATTTGGACGACAAGCTGTCGTGAGGTTCCGTTGTTAACAGAAAAAATTTCGCTCCTTATATCCATCGGGTTTTGGCCGACAGGCCCCACGAGGGTTCATTTTTAACTTAGAAAATTTATCACTGCCAAAATTTCATTGATGAGATTTTACTTGTTAAGTTTCATATTTTATCAAACAAGTCGGCCTTAGGCCAGCTGGATTCGTTGAATCTCACTATCAATTTGGAACGTTTTCAATTTCCACAAACAAGTCGGAGTTCAACCGACTATTTCATAAAATATTTTTGCCTTTGACTTAGAAAAATTTTCCTTTTTACTTGAATCTCGCCTGTCAAACGAATCGGGATAGAACCGTTTTAGTTTCGCAGAATTACTGAATAAGTAACGAGTCAATAAACTTGCATCAATGATAACGCATGAAATTCACATTGAATTCAAAAAGAAATGAAACACCACCAAAGTCTTAAAGAAAACTCGACAACAACAAGAAGGATTGAAAAGGAGAAGAGTACGAGAGTCTAAAGTAAACAAAAGCTTAATCATCTTCGGGGGGATCCATGAGCTGACCGTCCACAATCTCCTTGAAGTAGCCAAGGCTCCTAAGATCAATGTCGGCATGCAGAAACTTCACTTGACTCTTAGCCGCATCGAAACCCTCCATAAACTTTTTCAACGAGTCCATTTTAGCCGCATGAAGATTAGCTTGCAATTTTTCAACCTCTGACTTCGCTGAAGCTAAATCGACCTCGAACACTTGCGTGGCATCAGCATTTTTGTCTCGGGCTAGCTTCATTTCCTCAAGCTCCTTCTCGAGGCTTGACCTCTCGGCAGCCCAGGCCTGTTTCTCGTCCTCAAAGGCACGACGACCTTCCAATAGTTTGTCTCTCTCAGTAGACACCCACCTGAGCTCAGCTTTGCTCTTGTTCAAACTCTCCTCCAAGGACACAATCCTTTTTCCTTGCGACTTAGTCTCCCTCACTAAGCCGCGAATTTTATCTTCATTGATCAACGAAAGAGCCGAGAGGCGATTGGTAAGTGACTGGACGCCCTTGGCGATGGTGAAAGCACTCATCTTCTCCAAATCGTCTCAGTCACCCTCTAGCAAGTCGGTTCCTCGAATGTGAGCACTGTGGTTAAACTTCTCGTCCCAGAAAGAAGCCACATTGCTACGGTCGGCTCCGTGGTTCACCGGCTCCCAATTCTCGCCGAGACAGGCACTCAGGGTCCTCTCGGTAGATTGAACCTCCGTGTCGCCTTTGACCTCCTCGGCGACCACGACCGTCTCCAAGTTAACCACCGATATGGACTTATCGGCCTCGCGACGGCGCTTCTGAGGGGTCTCGCCAATGGTTCTCGACTTCACCACTGGACTACCGGACTCCGCACCCTTCTCGGTAGCCGACTCACCCACCACGACAGCTTGGGAAACTTTTTGTTTCTTCCAGAGTTTCATCATTTCCCGGTTGCTCATGCTCGCCATTCTCTCTGCAAGAAATACATAAACAGGCTATGATAGAAGTATAAGGCTAAACGGAAAAGGAAATTCGCAGCATTCAAAACAACAATATACCTATGTATATCCTCAACTCTTAGGGCCTACTCTCTAAGTCTAGGAGTTTTCCAGTATTGAATAGGGTTTGCAACTCTTCGATTTTCTTAACATCATTCCGATCACTCTCGCAAAGCTTCTCAGAATCTAGACCACCAAATGCTATAGTCCTCTGATTCCAGTACAAAGGGAACCCCTCTAACACATTTTCATGACCCGGCATACTTCAAACTCGGAAAAATGATTTTTTAAAATCTTTATAGGACGACAGGAATAACGATAACACTACCCGACCTGAAACCCCGCTAACGGACACCCAGCTAGTACGCTTGCTAATCCTACTCTCAAAGAAGTAGAAGAACTTATCTACAGTCGGGGTAATGCCGAGCCCTGCACACAAAACCTCAAAACCACGTACGAAGGCCCAACTATTGGGGTGCAATTGGGTCGGGGCAACACCCAAGGCCTGGAGTACTCCCTTTTCACAGTCAGTAAGGGGCCATCTTACCCTAATTTTAGAAATGAGGGTTGTATAACAAAACGTAAACTTTTCCGTTGAAGGTGAACTAATGCACACCGGTTCTCTGTCAACACAAGGTTCACATATAACTACATCGTCCCCATCACGAAAACCACATGGTCTCTACAAAAGCTGTCCATAGCCTCCCAAGAATTTATCATAGACTCACATTTTAATGCGTCATCTTTAACCCATCTATATAACTCCCCGTAACTCACGACATCCATGGCAAATATAAGCTTAGACTAACCTACAACCTAAAGGTTTGTAAGAAAACCACTACAATAGCAGAATAAATACGCGTACCTAAGGGTCTCTCACACCACTTCACCCACTAAAAACAGGGACAACCACCACAGACCACCGTAGATCTGGAACGGAGAAGAAAGAAACCGCCGGAGAAGAAGACACGTGAAGAGGGAAAAGAAAATAACTTGAAAAAATGGGAGGCCACCTCTATTTATAGAGGTGAAGGGTCGCGCGTGAAGGGGGAAAACCCAAGAGCCACAACGCACGTGGGGTGTTGCGACTCCTAACCCAAGAGGGCCCCACTTCGTTAACCTTAGTAGCGGGCGCTGCCACGTGGCTTCGTCATTAATTACACCCCTGCAACGCCGTCCTTGCAATAAATGCATGTCCTTTCCTGGACCAGGGGAAAAGACACGTCTTGTCAAGACCAGAGAGATCCCCACTTCCGAGAACGACATAGATACCGCTACAGTTCCCATCCGAAGAACGACTCGGCCATCTCCCGACATTATTCGAAAGGCCACAAGCCCTTTCGCCTTATCGGCTCAGGGCTGGAAGGATAGTGTACCGTCCAGGTCGAAATCCGATTGACCTCTACTCGGCTAATACCCGACTAAGTCACCAGGCCACAAGCCTTTTCGCCTTATCGGCTCAGGGCTGGAAGGATAGTGTACCGTCCAGGTCAAAATCCGACATGATCCTTTATTTGACTGATAACCACTCGGCCTATGACCGAGTTAACACCTCTATGCGAGCCGACTTACTCCTATTTCGACCCCACTTGCCTATGAGGGGGTCACTCGGCGCGTACCCGACTTGATCCTTGGTGTACAAGCCGACTCGGCCCCAGCTCGGATTCACTCGCTTACAAGTCGGATCTCCGTGATTACCCGACTGGACCCATGGCACAGACCTAGTCGGTTAAAGACCGACTAGATTAATCCTCGCTCATTGCGCGACTTTGTAGCAAGAACGGTTGAGGAAACCCCTACATTCTCGGGGCCCATGAGGCCCATGGGCGATGAGGTATAAAACGTAAAACCCTAAGTCTAGGCGGGGAGATTTACACTTTGAATGCTCTGGCTTTGAGGCTTGACCTAGGAAAAAACCCTAGCGCACCTTTTGGCCGGAACAATATATATATATATGGGTTGCTAATGTTGGAGCGTTGCACTTATTGTCTGTACCGAAGTACCTCCCGTTCTCCTTTTCTCAGGTATGTTTGTGTGTGTTGTGTGCTAGGTTGGTTCTCTCGGGGTTATTAGTGATGTTCATAGTTGAAGAATTGGGTGTCTCTAGCAAGTCTTCATCTGGGTCTCATGAGTCAGCCAATTTTATCAAAGTCGTGGTATCCGAGAGCAATTTGAAGCGTCTTTCGGTGACCAATGCTACTGAAAGTTCAGGTGATTCGTCAGGTTCTAATCTTTCGAATGCCGAGATGGATCATCAACATTACAGACAAAAATTTTCCCCCTTGTGAGGTCTCGGGGTACGAGTGGGTTGATGGTGAAGTAACGACTTATTACTCTCATTTTTATGAGAGGGCTGATGTGGAGGGTTTCTAATCTTTCTAATGCCGAGATGGATCATCAACATTACAGACAAAAATTTTCCCCCTTGTGAGGTCTCGGGGTACGAGTGGGTTGATGGTGAAGTAACGACTTATTACTCTCATTTTTATGAGAGGGCTGATGTGGAGGGTCTACTGGCAAGATGTCGATTGGCTCATTGGGATAACACCGAACCCTAGCCCATCATGCTTCGTCGTTGTAGGGCCGAAGGTCCCGGGGAGACTGATTTGGTTTTCCTTGCCAAGCAAAAGGATCAAAGCGATTTTTTTTATATGTATGAGTGTCTATTTAGAGATCTCGGGTTATCCCTACCCTTTAATGATTTCCAAATGAGTGTACTTTGAGTTCTCAATGTGGCACCTACGCAACTACATCTATATGGGTGGGCGGTTATGCAAGCGTTTCGGGTTCTTTATAAATATTATTACATCGAGCCAAGTGTTGGGCTATTCCTTCATTTTTTCTACATGCGTCCTTCGAACATGACCGTGAAGTGGGTATCATTAATAAGGCACGTTGACCGGCCTCTTTTCAAGTCATTTACGTCTTCCTTTAAAGGGTTTAAGGCCAGGTTTGTAAAGGTTATTATAGACCCTATAGCTGGCTGAAACCATTTTTATCATAGCGAAGAGAGTCCATTATTCCCCTTCTAGTGGACCTGGGTACCTCGAAAGTATGATGAATACCCGGCTAAGATGCTTAGTCTAGACGAAGCTACTTCATTATCCTACTTGAATAGTTTTCCCCGAGAGATTCCAACTCGGTTTTTGGTCTTCTTACCGAAATCTGCCCGGCCCCGCTTTAACTTAGAGGGTATGTGTTTGTGTTAACTTGATTTTGATTTCATGTTGGTTGATTTGTGACTATGCTTTCTTTGTAGGCTAGATGGCGCAATAAGGGTTAGGTTTCTCCAATCATCAGGTAGTTTGTAATCGAGCTCCCATTAATACTTCAGTTGAGGAACACCATAATGTGGTTGTTGACATGACTCCTGCTATTATTGCTGAGGCGCATGCCCCTCCGCAGGACATTGTTCTTCTTGACCCTTATGCTGAAAAGAAAAGGGAGAAAGGTAAGAGGATAGCGGAATCAAGTGCACCTGACGGTTCTCGGTCTAAGCATAGGCATACCAAAATTATTTTGATCTAGCCATTCCTTCGGCCATCGTGGCCCGCAATTTTATATCTCCAGAAGTTCGGCCTTCTAAGATGTTGGCCCCTAATCTCTTATCCACACAGGGTCATCAGATGTTGGTCCACCACCCCCTCGGATCAGTGGGCCATGGCATGTGAGTTTCAAGTTTGTGCTACCGTGATACTTTGGAAACTCGTGCTGGAACCTCTCGCGGATGTACACAATTTGAAGAAGTCTTTGGAAGACGTGAGGACTGCCCTTCAGCACTCGGTTGAAGCCTATGAAGTTACTTTGACCGAGAATTTGCAACTTAAGACCGAGGTAGCGCGCCTAAATGAGGCTCTTGGCAACATGGAGGGTCGGACAATTGCAACTGAGGAGGCAAAAAACATGAGGGTTACCGAGTTAAAGGAGGTCTTGGAGCGAAAGGCCAGGGCTAAGACCAACATGGATGCGTTTGTGGAGAGTTTTCAGACCGATTATGAGAACAAGATCATCCATGAGCATGAGTCGGGTTTCAAGAACGTTGTTCGTCAAGCTCAGTATTTTTGTAGTGTCTCCCTGGATTTCACTTTTGAAGTAAACAAGGATTTTTATAAAGGGGTGTATATGGAGTATGACGAGATGCCTAAAGATGCCGAACCCAATGAGATGGCCCCTTCTCGATCTGCTGCACCTAAAGACCTTCGCACCACTATCCAAGATGATGAGGATAGTCAAGATGGTGATGAGGGTGACCATACCATGGCTGATGACTGATTAGTTAGGTTCTTCGATACATCTGTTTTGTGAATGATGTAGAGGGATGGGATTTTTTTGTCTATGTTGGGAGGGTATACTTTTTTTTATTATGGCCTGCTGGATCTTATAATTGGTTGTAGCCAGAGCCAATAGTGCTCGTTCTATTTTGTGTTAATGATAAGATTGTTTAAACCGTGTTTATTTTCCAAGTTTGTGTTTTGACCTGCGTGGATGTGTATATTATCTCAACCTTGCCTGTTTATGGTTTGATATCCTTGGCCCAGGAGTGAGCACTGTTTCTGGCTCATGGGTGAGTGTGGTTAAGAGTGACTCGTAATGCTTTACCAAGTATTTAAGGGGTAAATTTCATGTTTGGTGTAAGCTAAATAATGGTGGGAGAGACATTATCGTGGTTAATGTTCGATCCTAGGCGAGTAATAGAGCCTGAGAATGTTTTCTTACCCTATCTTAACCAAGTGTTTAAGCTTGGAGAGGTTGTAGCGTTCACCCTTAACCGAGTGAGGGTACTCAGGAGGGTTTACTTAATCAACCTTGACCAAGCGTTTGAGCTTGGGAGAGATTGTAGTATTCGTCCATAGCCAAGTGAGGGTACTCGGGAGGGTTTACTTAAACCACCTTGACCAAGTTTTTGAGCTTGGGAGAGATTGTAGTGTTCGTCCTTAGCCGAGTGAGGGTACTCGAAAGGGTTTACTTAATCAACCTTGACCAAGTGCTTAACTTGGGAGGGATTTTAGTATTTGTCCTTAGCCGAGTGAGGGTACTCAGAAGGGTTTACTTAATCAACCTTGACCAAGTGCTTAACTTGGGAGGCATTGTAGCATTCGTCCTTAGCCAAGTGAGGGTACTTAGGAGGGTTTACTTAATCAATCTTGACCAAGTGCTTAAGCTTGGGAGGGATTCGACTTTACTCTAGATGACTTTATGGATTTTGAAAAATGCACAATAAGCGGTGAATGAAGTTTACTAAAAGATGATTTTCATTAATATTGGTGCCTCGTTAAAAACCTCCGCAGTAAAACCTCTTTTACATTTTTCTTTTAAGAGGGTAAAACCCGAGGTAGGAAAAGAGTGCACCGATTATACATTGAAGAGCTTAGTTGTAATAGTGTTTCAAATGGGAGGCGTTCCACATGCACGGGATGGTTCTTCCCATAAGGTCTTCAAGTTTGTACACTCCATTGTGAAAATTGTGCAATATCTGAAAAGGGTCATCCCAGCTTGGTGCTAGTTTACCATGTGTTCAATTTTTCCTGGTTTCTCATGTGATTGTCCAAACCAAGTCACCTAGTTTAAACTCTATTTGTTTAACTTTGGTTCTGAACTTCCTAGCCAACCTTGTTCGGCATGCCTCTATGTTGACTAGTGCTCGGTCTCTTATCTCGTCAATTGGGTCCAACTCCACACTTAGTGCTTCTTCGTTTCTTTCTTTCCTGAACTGTTGTCGTTGAAGTGAGGGTTCCCCCACCTCTACGGGTATCATGGCGTCGGTCCCATATGTCATTCTAAAAGAAGTCTCTTTGGTGGATGTTTATGGTGTATATCGATATGCCCATAGGATTTCTAGTAATTGTTCGGCCCAAATTCCTTTGGTATGCCTGAGTCACCTCTTTAATTCCTTTAATATGACGTTGTTCTTAGATTCAGCATGACCATTACTTTGCGGATGTTCAATAGATGTTACCCTATGTTTAATATGCAAACCTTCTAAAAATTCATTGAAGCGACAATCTGTGAATTGCAAGCCGTTGTTAGTGATCAAGGCATGTGGGATACCAAACCGAGTGATTATATTTTTCCATAAAAACTTTCAAGCTTTATTAGCTGAGATGGTGGCTAAGGGTTTTGCCTCTATCCATTAATGAAATGATCTACTACCACAAGGAGGAATTTGACTTGTCCTTTGGCGGGAGGAAATGGCCCTAGGATATCCATCCCCTAAATTGCGAAGGGCCATGGTGTAGTGATGAAGCGTAGGTCATTTGCCGGCTGGTGTATGAGGGGTCCATGTTGTTGGCATGGTTGACATTTTTGAACAAATTTGGCGTAGTCTTCAATTAAGGTGGGCCAATAGTAACCGACGCGTAGGACCTTTGCTGCCATAGTACGACCTCCTGAATGGGTTTCTTATATGCCTTCATGTATTTCCCTAAGGACATATTGGACTTGTTCTGGTGCGAGACATTTAAAGAGCAGGATTGAAATGCCCATTTTATATAGATTGCCTGATATCAAGGTTCGTACTTTTTTTGCATCCACAAGACCTACCTGCAGGTGGCTTGTTGAAAGATAAGTAACGATGTCAGTCATCTAATTATGGGGTGCTAGTTGTGCATGTGAGCAATCTTGTTTCGTGATGCTTAGGACTGGTACTTCTTGATGGATTACACTATGCAACTAACTTACCCTTTTGCTATTGGCTAGCCTCGCCAATTAGTCGGCAAGTTTGTTGAGGTCTTTAGGAGTGTGATGTATTTGAACTTCTTCAAAATTAGATTTGGCCATCTGAAAGGATTGATAGTATCGTAGTAAGGTGGGTTCTTTCACCTGAAATGTGCCATTTATCTGTTCCATCACAATTTGGAAATTGTTCCAACAACTAATTCTCGTCACCCCTAGCTCTCTGGTCAGATGCAGACCCGCGAGTAGGGCCTGATACTCGGCTTAATTGTTGGAAGTTTTGAAGCCGAACTGAAGTGACTGTTCCAAAACTATGTTGCCTGGTCCTTCTAGGATGATTCCCGCTCCACTACCTTGCTGATTGGATGACCCATCCACATGTAGCGTCCAGGTATCTACCGACGGTGTTCCTTCTAGGTGAAATTCATTAAGGAAATCGCCAGGCTTTGAGCCTTTATGGGATGATGGAAATATGCCAAGATTAAGGAAACTAAGAGGTGATACATTAAAGGAACCAAGAGGAATGGGATGATTTTGAAGACCTTTCAAATGCTTGTAAATATAGTAGTTACTTGTATAGGTTTATTTTGCTTTTGTATTTGTGAGGCACTTTGTTTCCTTTTTATAGATCATTGTATAATGAATTTAGAGTAGGTTTTTTGGAGACTTTTACTCTATTTGACCTTGTATTGAAGGTCACTCTTTTTCTACTTTTCAGTAGTAGAAGTGGGTGGCAATTAGCAATGCTTGAGGGTGTGACTAGTAATTGGGATAGATTGGGCCTAGGCAACATTTTACATATTAGACTTGTTTTGCTCTTAATTTTTCAAGGATTTGATTTAGCTAGGTCTCATCATTTTAGGATGGACCTAACTAAACCAAATCAAACATTTTTGGAACGGATTTAGTGAGCAAAACTAGCCTAAGGCCGCTTAGCTTCATCTTGGTCGAATTGCTTCTCTTCTTCCTTAAAGCTTTGGGAAGCTTGTGATACAAGCTTCTAACTTAGCTTGCTTGCCAAGCAAGCTAAGATAGAAGCTTGCTCCACAAGCCTCCTAAACTAGGGTGACTAGTCAAGCTAAGCCAACCATGGTTCACTTGAACCATGGTAAGCTTAGCTTGCTCCCTAAGCTACCTACTTCTATATATTTCCAAATCTCTCATTTGTAGACAATTTTGGATATATGAACAGAATTTTTCTCTCAAAATTCTCTCTTCCAAGAGCCAAACCCGTGGAGAAACTTTCTCCCTTAGGAACCTTCACAAAGGCCTTTCTCCTTTTTGCCTTGGTTTCCTCTTTTTTCTTCTCCTTCAAGAAGAACCGAGCCATCAAGAATGGCTTCTAGCAAGCCTTGAAGCTTGCTTTGCTTCCGCCATTATCAACCTTGAAGAACCTCTAAGAGCTAGATTGGACTCATGGATGGAGCTTGAGGAAGAGCAACAACCACTTCACCAAGTCTCTTCCATCATTTTTGGTATCTAGAGCTAAGGTGCTCTTGAGGTTTTGTTTTCTAGTCTCTTAAAATTTGTTCTGTCTTGTCTCAATCATTCCTTTATATGTCTTTGAATTTTTGCTGGATGGATCTAGGTTTTCTACATATTTTTTATGGATCCAAATGTGACATGTGATTGATTGATTCATTTTATTGCTTGTTCCTTTACTCTTGAATCAACCCAGTTTTGTGCTTTAGTTATTCTTGTGCTTGTACTTTTGATTTTTGTTTAATTCTTTCCTATTCCTTAACAGCCTATTCCTTAACATGAATCCATGATTGGATATTAACATTGAATAGCATGTGTTTTTGGTTTATATTCATGGAAGTTTTGTCTAGAGTCATGTTTAGTCCTTTACTTGTCATTAATTCCTAGAGTAGCTTGTTTAACTTTTGTTTTTGTCTTGTTTTGGTCCTTTCGGTTTGTGCAACTTATATACTCTTTGTACCTGACCTATATGTGCTTTTGTTTTGCATATTTGAGTTCTTGATTTGCTATTAGTTCTAGCAAATCTCTTAGAGTTAGGTTTCCTTTATGTCTTATAAAAAGTTTGTCAAAAAATTGCCTAAACTACTATTTTCTTCCCTAGGTTTTCCTTGAATCTCTTGTGTGGCTGAAACTTGTGCTTATTTTTGAAGCTTTTAAATCAGAGAAAAAAGAGGTATTGAGTGACAAAGATGTAAGAAAATCAAAGAAAAAGTGTCTAAAAATTGTTTAAAATTTTGGTGCTAAAGTGTGAAGCACTTGTAACACACACACACACCTATATACCTCTTGATTGTGCAAATTGTTTAGCAACCCTTTCTTTACCAAATTCGAGACTCGTAAGTGTTGGAAAAAGGCATTAAACTCCTGTGATTAAAAGAAAAAGAAAGTGAAAATAAATTGCCAAAAGAAAGCAAAAGAAAGAATATAAGAAAAAGCTAAAGGAGTAGAAAATTTTGCTTGAATTTGCTCTCGGATTTGCTTGGTGTTGCTTGTTTCTAAAACTGTCCAACCCTATACACTTGGGATTAGTATCTTGTTTTCATTTTTTAATCTTAGTTTTTGTTTTGTAATCCACGCTAGAGCCAATGGTAGGTTTTTCCCCTTGAGTGCCTACTTCTTTGTGTGCCTTATTTTTAGCTTGTCTTTTGTGGAATTCTTTCTTGTTTTGTCTCATTTACTTCTACCAATTGGTGTAGCCTATTTTTTTTTAATTGAGCTTTTTCAATTTTGAGCAAATTAATCCAGCCACTACTTGTTGTGTTGAGTGCTTCTTTGAAGGTTTGGAAGGCCAAGCTACAAGGGTAGCATC